AGACATTTCGGAGGCAACCAGCTACCAGGCGGTTCGATGAGTCTTTCGCCCCCATGCCCGGCTCCGACGAGCGATCTGCGCGTCAGCACCGCGGCGGGCCTCCACCAGGCTTTCGCCCGGCCTCGCCCTCGCCGGGCATAGATCACCGCCTTTCGGGCCCACGCGCCGCGGCTCGGCCCGCGCACGCCCGCAGGGGGCGGCGGGCCCGGGGCGTCTCGCGCTCGCTCCGCCGCGGGGGCTCCCTCGGGCTCGCCGCGGCGCGTGGCTCCTCGGTCCGTGTTTCGAGACGGGGCCGGCGGGCCGGCGGCCGGCCGGGTTCAGGTCTTTTGAGCGGCCGCAGGGCGTCCTTTTCACCGTTCGCTCGCGCTACTTGGTCCGCTATCGGTCCCGGGGCGTATTTAGCCTTGGAAGGGCCGCGCCTCCCTTCGCGCTGCACGCTCAAGCAGCGCTACTCGCCGCGCAGGCCCGGCGGCCGCCGTACGGGGCTTGCACCCTCTCGGGCGGGGCCCTCGGGCCCCCTCGCGGCGGGCCTGCGCCTGCGCCCCACAGCGCGCCTTCGGGGCGGGCTCCTCCCGCGTCGCTCGCCGCTACGGGGAATCCCGGTTGGTTTCTCCTCCGGGGCGTACTGATATGCTTAAGTTCCGCCCGTCGCCCCCGCCGCCTCGGGCCGCGCAGCCCGGCGGGACCGCCCCGGGGCGCTCTCTGCGGCGCGGCGCGCGGCACGCGGCGGGCGCCGAGGCGGCGGCGCCGGGGCGCGCTGCGTTCGAGGGTCGGTGCTTCTCGGGGCGGGCGGGTCCGCACCGCGTCTCGCGCTCCGCCGCGCTCTTCGTCGCCGCCCGGGCCGAGGCATCCGCCGGCGGGGCGTTCGGGGGCCGACCGGGCCGCGGGGGCGACGCGCGGGGCGCGCGAGGGATCCATCCGCAGGTTCACCTACGGATACCTTGTTACGACTTCTCCTTCCTCCAGGCGCGGGGGCTCGCGGCCCTTCGCGCGTCCGGGGCGCTCGCCGCCGCGCCCAGTCGGTAGGAGCGACGGGCGGTGTGTACAAGGGGCAGGGACGCGTCCGGCGCGCGGTGGGGGCGGGCGCCTACAAGACATTCCTGGTGCGCGGGGGCGTTCCAGCCCGCGGTCCCGGCCACGGCGGGGGCTCCGCGCGTCCTCGCGGGCGCCGGCTGGCCCCGCCAGTGTAGCGCGCGTGCGGCCCAGGGCGTCTGAGGGCATCACAGACCTGCTATCGCCCCGCCGTCCTCCCGCTCGCGCGGGCCGTCCCGCGGCGCCCGCGGCCGGGGTCTCGCTCGTTGTCGCAATGGAGCAGACGGCTCGCGCCACGGGCTGGGAGCGGCCATGCACCACCGCCCGCGCGATCGCGAAAGCGCGCCCGGCTGTCGGTCCTCCGCGCGTCCGGGCCTGGTGAGGTGCGCGCGTTGAGTCAGATTGAGCCGCAGACTCCACGTCTGGTGGTACCCCTCCGTCAATGCCTTCAAGTTTCAGCCTTGCGGCCATACTCCCCCAGAGCCCGGAGCCTCCCGGTTTCCCTGGGCGGCCGGCGGGACGCGCGCGCCGGCCGCGGGGCGGCACCGTTTACGGCCGGGAATACGGTGGTGTCTGATCGCCTTCTAGCCCCCGGCCTTCGCCCTTGATTGACAGAGGCGGTCTTGGCAGGCGCCTGCGCGGCCGGCGGTCTCGGCGGGATCATCCTGTTTCACCCGTCCCCGGCCGGTACCGGTGCCCCCGCCCGCTCTCCTCGGGGCTGCCGCGGCGCGCCGCGCCCGCTGCGCGGTCCCACGCGGCGGGTCCAACGGGCCTGCCTGGAGCGCTCCCGTTTCCTCGTGGCGGCGGGGGGCCAACTACGGGCGTTTCAACTGCAGCAGCGCCGCGCGACGCTCGCCGAGCTGGAATTACCGCGGCTGCTGGCACCAGACCTTGCCCTCGGCTCCGCGGCGGGGGCTGTGGGCCCGCCTCGCTCGCGCGCTCCCCGTCGCTGCCTCGCGCGCCGCGCATTGGGCAAGTTCCGCGCCTGCTGCCGTCCTTGGATGTGCGGGCCGTCTCGCAGGCCCGCTCTCCGGAGTCGAACCCTGATTCTCCGCCAGGCGTCGGGCCCTCGGCGCGCCGCGACCGCGCCGACCGGGTGATGCCCCGGAAGCCCGGGCGGGCCGTCGCTGCGTCACGCTGCTCGCCCGCGGGCGCCCGCCCTTGCGCGCACGTCTTGGCGCCGGGTTGCCAGCGGTGTCCGGCTAGCAGGGACCGCCGCGGGGGGTGCAACCGTTGTCCTGAGCCGTCCGCCGCGTCCCGGGTGAGCGGGCATGCATGGCTTCGTCCTTGGGGAGAGCGTCGCGCTCCGGCAGGATCGACCGGATGGCCGGGCGCGGGCGCCGCGGGCCGGGCGCCTCCCTGCGCGGGGGCCGCCGCCTGGCACGGGGGCCGCCCCCTCCGTGCCCATGCCGTGTCGGGGGTCCCCCCTATAGTGCCGGGCGGAGGCCGCCCCCCACAGCCCGGCCCGGGTCCGCCTGCACCACACTTTTTTGGATTCCCTTGGGGCCCTCTGCCCCCCTCCAAAAAACCGGCCCTCGCGAGATAAAGCACCTTGTCCTATATAGTGCGTGACGGAGGCCGGCCCCCACACACCCCCTGGAGTCCCCCTGCACCACATTTTTTTGAAATCCCTTGGGGGCGTCCGGGGGGCCGGGGGGCCGGTCCGCGGGGAGCGCCGGGGAGCCCGGGCGGACCCTGCAGGACTGCATATCACGGCAAACCCTCCTGTGCGGACCGCGTGTCCCGGGCTCCCTGCCGGTCGGGAGATCCGCGCCCCTCGTTCTCCGTCCACCGTGCCCCGGGGAGGCCCTTGACTGCAAAACGATCGAATTGGAGGCTGACTGTGCATCCGGGCGCTCTGGGGGCCCTCTCCGGGGAGACCGCCCGAAACGGCTTCTCGCGGGGATCTCAGCAGCCGTGGCTATATACGGTCCGTCTCTAACCTATATGATTGCTGGCAGCGGGAGGGCACTGCGTGGGGGGCGGCCCCCCGGAAGGGCGCGGTCCGAGGAGGGGCCCCCGACCGGCCCTGGACCGACTGGGGCAGCCCCGGGTGCTGTGCGTGCGCCTGGCTGCAGCGGGGCCACGGGGGCGCAGGAGGCCGCAGGAGAGACCGGAGTGTTTACTGGCCCGGGGGATCGGCTGCTCTGGGCCGTCCGGGGGTCCTTCCGCGCTCTCCCCGCGGTCCCCCGGTCTCCTGCACCGGGCCTCCCCAGCGCCCGTCCCCGCACGTGGGCGTGTCTCCCGGTCGTGCGTGGCCTGCTGGAGGCGCTGGGCCTCCCTGCCGCCCTCTCTGTCTGGATCCCCCGGGCCGCCTCCCCCGGGCCCCCTGCGGTCCTGCGCCGCCCCCCTGCGCACACGGGCGTCTCTCTGTGCAAGGCAGACCCGGTGGTGGGCGTGCACTGCCCCCTGGCCACCCCTTGGGGCACCCTGCACTCCCTCAATCTTCTCTTTCCGCGCTCTGCCTGTCTGTCTGCCCCGCACCCCCCAGAGCAAGTGGGCCGCGCGCCCCGCCCCGCGCTCTGCAGGCGCGTCCCTCAGGCGATCGCAGGGCTCTGCGCCGTACAGGAGCGCCGCGCCGGGTGGTCTCCCCGGGCGGGGGCCGCTCGGCGACGGGGCACGGGGCTGGGGCGCGCGGCCGGGCGGGGCGCGAGGCGGGGTGCGCGCTTAGAGGCGGTCAGCGCAGGGCCCCCGGGCGCGGCGGCGCGGCGCTGCCCGGCCGGGCAACCGCGGGGCTGGCGGCCCGCGGCGGGCGTTCCTCTCGTACTGGCCCGCCGTGCTCTGGCCCCGGGGCCAGTAGGGTAAAACTAACCTGTCTCACGACGGTCTAAACCCAGCTCACGATCCCTTGAACGGGTGAACAATCCGACGCTTCCGCGCCGGTGCGCGCGGACGGTAGGAAGAGCCGACATCGAAGGATCAAAAAGCCGCGTCGCTGCGGGCGCTCGGCGGCCACAAGCCAGTTATCCCTGTGGTAACTTTTCTGCCACCTCCGCGCCCGCGGCCGGGGCGGCGAAGGATCGGTAGGCCCCGCTTTCGCGGCCCGCGCCGGCACGGGGGGCGCGGGTCGGGCGGGCTTGTGCCCTTCTGCTCCGCGGGAGGTCTCCGTCCTCGCTGAGCCCGCCGTGGGACGCCTGCGGTCCGGTGTAGCAGGCGCGCCGCCCCAGCCGAACTCCCCGCCCGGGCGGGTCCCCGCGCGACCGGGTGAGCGGGGCGGCGGCGGCCGTCAGGGTGTCTCAGGGGCGCGGCCTCCCCTGTGCGCTGCGCCGGCCGCCCCGCCCCACAGGCCCGGGCTGGAGTCAAGCTCAAAAGGGTCTTCTTGCCCCGCTGGCCGGCCCTCGCCCGTTCCCGAGGCTGGAGGCTCGCGGAGGCGCGGCTCGGGACAGTGGGATCCTCGTTGGTCCATTCATGCACGTCGGAAATTGCCCGACGAGGCATTTGGCTACCTTAAGAGAGTCATAGTTACTCCCGCCGTTTACCAGGGCTTCGGCGGATCGCTTCACGGTGACGGTCGTGGCACTGGGCAGAAATCACGTCGCGCCAGCGCCGGGTGCGGCCCTCGCGACGCTGTGTTTCTAGTAAACAGTCGGGATCCCCGCGTCCGTTCCAGTTCTGACCCGGCGCGCCGTCAGAGCCACTCCTTTTCCCGAGGTTACGGAGCCGGCTTGCCGACTTCCCTGAGCCGCGTTCGCTCCCGCGCTAGAGGCTGCTGACCCCGGAGTCCTGCTGCGGTCGGTACGGCGCGCGGCCGGCGCCCCCCGGCTTTTCAGGGGCGGCCGGGGACGCGCGGGGTCCGCCCCCGGGCCCCCCTCTCCGCGCAAGGCGTCCGGGGGCTGCGGGGCGTTCGCGGGCCGGGGCGCCGCCCGCCGCGGTCCCCGTGCGCGTCGCCGGGGGGCGGGCGTCTCCGCGGGGGCCGCGCCTGCCGGAGTCTCCGCCGGCTCCCCGTTCGACGGGCGGGCACGCCCCTTCCCGGTCTTCACCCGCCGCTTAGGCCCGAGTCACCCGCGGCCAGATGCAGGCGCCGCGGAACCCGTCTCCCCCTCAGTCCTCCGGGGCGCGGAGTAGCGGCTACTGCTGCCGAGATCTGCACCAGAGGCCGGTCCGGCGGGGCCTGCGCGCCGCCTTCGCCCCCGGGGCCTCTGCGGCCTCCTACCCGCCGCGCGCGGCGGCCGGGCGCGGGTCCGGGGCTCCGGCGCGCTCCATTTTCCGGGCCGGCCGATTCGGCTGGTGGGTTGTTACACACTCCCTGGAGGATGCCGACTTCTGGGGCCACCTTCCAGCTGTCGGGACCGGCCGACGCCGTTCCGCGGGCCCCGGCGGCGCACCCTGGCCCGGCGTCCGGATCGTCCCGCCTCGCCCGTCCTGCTTACCAGGAGGGGCCCACGCGCCGCCCGCATTCGCCCGCCCCGCCCAGGCCAGCGGCGGGGCGGCGCGGCCCTTCGGAGTTTGGGGGGCGGGCGAGGGGCAGGCCCCCCGCTCCCGCCGGCCAGCGCTCTACGGGCCGCAACTGCGGGGCGGCGGCTGTCCTGGGAGACATTTCGGAGGCAACCAGCTACCAGGCGGTTCGATGAGTCTTTCGCCCCCATGCCCGGCTCCGACGAGCGATCTGCGCGTCAGCACCGCGGCGGGCCTCCACCAGGCTTTCGCCCGGCCTCGCCCTCGCCGGGCATAGATCACCGCCTTTCGGGCCCACGCGCCGCGGCTCGGCCCGCGCACGCCCGCAGGGGCATGGCGGGCCCGGGGCGTCTCGCGCTCGCTCCGCCGCGGGGGCTCCCTCGGGCTCGCCGCGGCGCGTGGCTCCTCGGTCCGTGTTTCGAGACGGGGCCGGCGGGCCGGCGGCCGGCCGGGTTCAGGTCTTTTGAGCGGCCGCAGGGCGTCCTTTTCACCGTTCGCTCGCGCTACTTGGTCCGCTATCGGTCCCGGGGCGTATTTAGCCTTGGAAGGGCCGCGCCTCCCTTCGCGCTGCACGCTCAAGCAGCGCTACTCGCCGCGCAGGCCCGGCGGCCGCCGTACGGGGCTTGCACCCTCTCGGGCGGGGCCCTCGGGCCCCCTCGCGGCGGGCCTGCGCCTGCGCCCCACAGCGCGCCTTCGGGGCGGGCTCCTCCCGCGTCGCTCGCCGCTACGGGGAATCCCGGTTGGTTTCTCCTCCGGGGCGTACTGATATGCTTAAGTTCCGCCCGTCGCCCCCGCCGCCTCGGGCCGCGCAGCCCGGCGGGACCGCCCCGGGGCGCTCTCTGCGGCGCGGCGCGCGGCACGCGGCGGGCGCCGAGGCGGCGGCGCCGGGGCGCGCTGCGTTCGAGGGTCGGTGCTTCTCGGGGCGGGCGGGTCCGCACCGCGTCTCGCGCTCCGCCGCGCTCTTCGTCGCCGCCCGGGCCGAGGCATCCGCCGGCGGGGCGTTCGGGGGCCGACCGGGCCGCGGGGGCGACGCGCGGGGCGCGCGAGGGATCCATCCGCAGGTTCACCTACGGATACCTTGTTACGACTTCTCCTTCCTCCAGGCGCGGGGGCTCGCGGCCCTTCGCGCGTCCGGGGCGCTCGCCGCCGCGCCCAGTCGGTAGGAGCGACGGGCGGTGTGTACAAGGGGCAGGGACGCGTCCGGCGCGCGGTGGGGGCGGGCGCCTACAAGACATTCCTGGTGCGCGGGGGCGTTCCAGCCCGCGGTCCCGGCCACGGCGGGGGCTCCGCGCGTCCTCGCGGGCGCCGGCTGGCCCCGCCAGTGTAGCGCGCGTGCGGCCCAGGGCGTCTGAGGGCATCACAGACCTGCTATCGCCCCGCCGTCCTCCCGCTCGCGCGGGCCGTCCCGCGGCGCCCGCGGCCGGGGTCTCGCTCGTTGTCGCAATGGAGCAGACGGCTCGCGCCACGGGCTGGGAGCGGCCATGCACCACCGCCCGCGCGATCGCGAAAGCGCGCCCGGCTGTCGGTCCTCCGCGCGTCCGGGCCTGGTGAGGTGCGCGCGTTGAGTCAGATTGAGCCGCAGACTCCACGTCTGGTGGTACCCCTCCGTCAATGCCTTCAAGTTTCAGCCTTGCGGCCATACTCCCCCCAGAGCCCGGAGCCTCCCGGTTTCCCTGGGCGGCCGGCGGGACGCGCGCGCCGGCCGCGGGGCGGCACCGTTTACGGCCGGGAATACGGTGGTGTCTGATCGCCTTCTAGCCCCCGGCCTTCGCCCTTGATTGACAGAGGCGGTCTTGGCAGGCGCCTGCGCGGCCGGCGGTCTCGGCGGGATCATCCTGTTTCACCCGTCCCCGGCCGGTACCGGTGCCCCCGCCCGCTCTCCTCGGGGCTGCCGCGGCGCGCCGCGCCCGCTGCGCGGTCCCACGCGGCGGGTCCAACGGGCCTGCCTGGAGCGCTCCCGTTTCCTCGTGGCGGCGGGGGGCCAACTACGGGCGTTTCAACTGCAGCAGCGCCGCGCGACGCTCGCCGAGCTGGAATTACCGCGGCTGCTGGCACCAGACCTTGCCCTCGGCTCCGCGGCGGGGGCTGTGGGCCCGCCTCGCTCGCGCGCTCCCCGTCGCTGCCTCGCGCGCCGCGCATTGGGCAAGTTCCGCGCCTGCTGCCGTCCTTGGATGTGCGGGCCGTCTCGCAGGCCCGCTCTCCGGAGTCGAACCCTGATTCTCCGCCAGGCGTCGGGCCCTCGGCGCGCCGCGACCGCGCCGACCGGGTGATGCCCCGGAAGCCCGGGCGGGCCGTCGCTGCGTCACGCTGCTCGCCCGCGGGCGCCCGCCCTTGCGCGCACGTCTTGGCGCCGGGTTGCCAGCGGTGTCCGGCTAGCAGGGACCGCCGCGGGGGGTGCAACCGTTGTCCTGAGCCGTCCGCCGCGTCCCGGGTGAGCGGGCATGCATGGCTTCGTCCTTGGGGAGAGCGTCGCGCTCCGGCAGGATCGACCGGATGGCCGGGCGCGGGCGCCGCGGGCCGGGCGCCTCCCTGCGCGGGGGCCGCCGCCTGGCACGGGGGCCGCCCCCTCCGTGCCCATGCCGTGTCGGGGGTCCCCCCTATAGTGCCGGGCGGAGGCCGCCCCCCACAGCCCGGCCCGGGTCCGCCTGCACCACACTTTTTTGGATTCCCTTGGGGCCCTCTGCCCCCCTCCAAAAACCGGCCCTCGCGAGATAAAGCACCTTGTCCTATATAGTGCGTGACGAGCCGGCCCCCACACACCCCCTGGAGTCCCCCTGCACCACATTTTTTTGAAATCCCTTGGGGGCGTCCGGGGGGCCGGGGGCCGGTCCGCGGGGAGCGCCGGGGAGCCCGGGCGGACCCTGCAGGACTGCATATCACGGCAAACCCTCCTGTGCGGACCGCGTGTCCCGGGCTCCCTGCCGGTCGGGAGATCCGCGCCCCTCGTTCTCCGTCCACCGTGCCCCGGGGAGGCCCTTGACTGCAAAACGATCGAATTGGAGGCTGACTGTGCATCCGGGCGCTCTGGGGGCCCTCTCCGGGGAGACCGCCCGAAACGACTTCTCGCGGGGATCTCAGCAGCCGTGGCTATATACGGTCCGTCTCTAACCTATATGATTGCTGGCAGCGGGAGGGCACTGCGTGGGGGGCGGCCCCCCGGAAGGGCGCGGTCCGAGGAGGGGCCCCCGACCGGCCCTGGACCGACTGGGGCAGCCCCGGGTGCTGTGCGTGCGCCTGGCTGCAGCGGGGCCACGGGGCGCAGGAGGCCGCAGGAGAGACCGGAGTGTTTACTGGCCCGGGGATCGGCTGCTCTGGGCCGTCCGGGGGTCCTTCCGCGCTCTCCCCGCGGTCCCCCGGTCTCCTGCACCGGGCCTCCCCAGCGCCCGTCCCCGCACGTGGGCGTGTCTCCCGGTCGTGCGTGGCCTGCTGGAGGCGCTGGGCCTCCCTGCCGCCCTCTCTGTCTGGATCCCCCGGGCCGCCTCCCCGGGCCCCCTGCGGTCCTGCGCCGCCCCCCTGCGCACACGGGCGTCTCTCTGTGCAAGGCAGACCCGGTGGTGGGCGTGCACTGCCCCCTGGCCACCCCTTGGGGCACCCTGCACTCCCTCAATCTTCTCTTTCCGCGCTCTGCCTGTCTGTCTGCCCCGCACCCCCCAGAGCAAGTGGGCCGCGCGCCCCGCCCCGCGCTCTGCAGGCGCGTCCCTCAGGCGATCGCAGGGCTCTGCGCCGTACAGGAGCGCCGCGCCGGGTGGTCTCCCCGGGCGGGGGCCGCTCGGCGACGGGGCACGGGGCTGGGGCGCGCGGCCGGGCGGGGCGCGAGGCGGGGTGCGCGCTTAGAGGCGGTCAGCGCAGGGCCCCGGGCGCGGCGGCGCGGCGCTGCCCGGCCGGGCAACCGCGGGGCTGGCGGCCCGCGGCGGGCGTTCCTCTCGTACTGGCCCGCCGTGCTCTGGCCCCGGGGCCAGTAGGGTAAAACTAACCTGTCTCACGACGGTCTAAACCCAGCTCACGATCCCTTGAACGGGTGAACAATCCGACGCTTCCGCGCCGGTGCGCGCGGACGGTAGGAAGAGCCGACATCGAAGGATCAAAAAGCCGCGTCGCTGCGGGCGCTCGGCGGCCACAAGCCAGTTATCCCTGTGGTAACTTTTCTGCCACCTCCGCGCCCGCGGCCGGGGCGGCGAAGGATCGGTAGGCCCCGCTTTCGCGGCCCGCGCCGGCACGGGGGGCGCGGGTCGGGCGGGCTTGTGCCCTTCTGCTCCGCGGGAGGTCTCCGTCCTCGCTGAGCCCGCCGTGGGACGCCTGCGGTCCGGTGTAGCAGGCGCGCCGCCCCAGCCGAACTCCCCGCCCGGGCGGGTCCCCGCGCGACCGGGTGAGCGGGGCGGCGGCGGCCGTCAGGGTGTCTCAGGGCGCGGCCTCCCCTGTGCGCTGCGCCGGCCGCCCCGCCCCACAGGCCCGGGCTGGAGTCAAGCTCAAAAGGGTCTTCTTGCCCCGCTGGCCGGCCCTCGCCCGTTCCCGAGGCTGGAGGCTCGCGGAGGCGCGGCTCGGGCAGTGGGATCCTCGTTGGTCCATTCATGCACGTCGGAAATTGCCCGACGAGGCATTTGGCTACCTTAAGAGAGTCATAGTTACTCCCGCCGTTTACCAGGGCTTCGGCGGATCGCTTCACGGTGACGGTCGTGGCACTGGGCAGAAATCACGTCGCGCCAGCGCCGGGTGCGGCCCTCGCGACGCTGTGTTTCTAGTAAACAGTCGGGATCCCCGCGTCCGTTCCAGTTCTGACCCGGCGCGCCGTCAGAGCCACTCCTTTTCCCGAGGTTACGGAGCCGGCTTGCCGA